GTTAGTTAACCTTTGCGATTTGGGGGATTCTGGAGCAGAGCAGGCCAATCAAGCCGAGTTCCCGCGTGATTTCCTAGGGATTTCGTTGGCGGATCAACCCAGTAAGTACTATTTCATCATCAGGTCGCAGAGGATTGTCCTGGAAGCTGACTCTTCCATTCAATTGATTATGGAGAAGCTTCAGTCTTACAAATCCAAAGTCGCCCTTTACATTGAAGGGTTTCAGTTTGAACTTGGTGACTTTAGATTGAGAGTTGGTAAAGTTGTTCCTACTCATTCCGAGAATGTTAGAGGAATAGTTATGGAGGTATCATCATTCCCCTCTCCTGTTTACAATGTTAAGAGCTTGAGCAATTCAAACTCGTTTTTTATGCATCTAGATGATGATTATGTGGAGCTATTCTCTTTTGGTGATGATGATTAACTTATAATAATGCTATATAGCTTGATGAGGTTATGAAATATGATGAGCATTGAACAATGTTGTTCTTGTTTCTTGTAATCTCCATTCGGAGTTGTAATTGTGTGTATTTTGTAGGTGGAGTATCTTCCTATATCATCAATTGAAAAGGCAAGAAAGGTGATGGAGGAGTTTCTGGACATGTGGCATGAAGCTCTCTCTAAAAGGTCCTTGCCCGGTAAATTTGTCAACATAGACCTCAACTTTGCGGAGTTTGGACTCACAGACAGCTACACTCCTCAACACACTGCTGTTCGATACGCTCTCGTCATGGCTCAGATGATTGCAACGGTTCAAGCTGTGCGAGGCTAAACTAAAACACAGCACTCCAATAAGCTTTTCTTTTCCTAGGTAAAATTCTGAGCTTTGCGATATTAGTGATTTCATTGGTCGTTTTTATAAACTCTAGGAAGCTTGAGATTGGAACAGATTGTAATTTTCACCACCAGGAATGTGGATGTCTGTGGTTTTGAGTGAATGTCTCAATTTGACGACCCAGTCTGTGGTGGTGTCTTCAGCTTCTCCTCTATCTGCCTTTGCCTTGAATTCCGGTTAATTTTTCGCAACGTTTTGTGATTATGAATCTTGAATCTTCCAACCGTAACCAATAAATGGTCTCTGGAGTATTTTGGATGCATGTTGCGTAATTCAATCACGTATTTTTCATTAAAGATATCTTTGTTCAATGCTTTTAATTTGTTGTTAAGCTGTATCTATATATATAATAGCAAAGTTTTCTCTCCATCTAAGGTATSCACATAGGCAAAAAAATTTCTTTATAATTAGTTTTAATTTTAATTAAGTTTCATTTAATTCATGTTTATGTATATTTATTGTCACTTATATCTTCTAAAATTTCTAATTAAATAAAAACGAAAATAAGTCAACAAATAACTAAAACTAATACGTATAAAACTATTTGAATATTTAAAATTACAACAATAAATATATTTGATTATGAGCTTAGGATAACGATAAAATTTTATATATTTAATTTCAAAAATTGAAAATATGTAAAATGAATATACATATAAAAAAAAATGAATAAAAATATAAAGACATAAAAAAATTAAATAATATTGGTGTCAAACGATTGTTAAGAGGTTGATTTAAAAAGAAAGAATATATATTATTTTACTAAAAGAATATTGAACAATTTCACTAAAGATGAGATAATAAGATGAAACTTATTTTTAACAAGGTTTCCTACTTGTTTAGGAAGGTGTTTAGGAAGACCTTCCTAAACAAGTGAAAATCCATCCTAAACTTATTCTAGAAAGGTTTCCAACTTGTTTAGGAACGTGTTTAGGAAGACCTTCCTAAACAAGTTAAAATTTTCCCTAAACTGTTTTTTTAAGAAAGTTTCTTACTTATTTAGGAATGTCTTTAGGAAGGTCATCCTAAACAAGTGAAGATTCTTCCTAAACTTATTTGTAGGAAGATTTCCTATTTATTTAGACAGGTGTTTATGAAGACCTTTTTAAACAAGTGAAAATTTTTCCTAAATTTTTGTTAAGAAGGTTTCTTACTTTTTAGGAAGATGTTTAGGAAGGTCTTCCTAAACAAGTGAAAATCTTTCCTAAACTTATTTTTAAAAATGTTTTCTACTTGTTTAGTAAGACCTTCCTAAACAAGTGAAAATCCTTCCTATAGTTTTTTCAAGAGGATTTTTTACTTGTTTAAAAAGGTGCTTAGGAAGGCCTTCTTAAACAAATAAAAATTCTTCATAAACTGATTTTTAAGAAGGTTTTCTACTTATTTAGGAAGGTGTTTAGGAAGGCTTTCTTAAACAAGTGAAAATCCTTCATAATCTTTTTTTTAGTGAAAATATATATAGTTTAAGAAAATAACATAAAAGTAAATAAAAAAATTTACATCAACATAAAAAATGTAATATATGTTAAATAAGRCAAAAATATTAATATAAACAAAACGTAAAAGAGTTAATTTTTAATGATAAAATATTAATACATTTAAAATAATACCATAACTTAATTAAAAACATACATAAAAACATATATAATTAYGTATATATTAGAKTTTTCAAATAAGTATAATATATTTTATTTTTGGTTAGTTAAATAATTTTAATAAAATTGTGAAACAAAAACTCACGCACCGCGCGAGCATATTCTAATATTATCATATATCAAACATAGTTATAGTTTTATATACACTTTTTCTTTTTTTCTGAATTCTCATTTATGTACTTCTAAATAAAATTGCTCTGACTAAATAAAATGTAATTTACCTAATTTTATTTTTTTTAGATCATGACCTAAAAATCAATTAGTTTTGTTATATACTTAAAATTTATGTTAAATAACCCGCGTGTACGTGCGGATATTCACCTAATCCATTATATAATTGGAGAGCGCTCTCTCCATTTAGAGTGTCTACATAGGCAAAAATATTTTTAAAACATTTAAGTTTTATAACATTCATTTGATACACACTAAACTATATTTATTTGTTTTTATGAC